ATACTACAACGCCTAAAAGCCACGAAGGAAAGGAAAACACCGCACATCAGCCCAAACTAACATGGCTCCGGGGTACAGCTGCCAGTTGAAGGAATACTTGTCCTTCTTTTCCAGCCACGCGCCGTCGCTCTGCCCCTTCACGATCCGCTGTGTCTGCAGTCGGGGTGTCTTTGCGCCACAGAGTGTGGGGTTAGGAGTCTTAGCTGCAGCGCCGGGGTGGCTGCTGCCATCAAACTCGACGCCCGTGTTTCCTGGCCCATCACGATTGTCTCCATATGAAGAACGTTGACGCTTGGCCCGCTCACTGTTGACAACCGGAGTTGCGACATTGCTATGATATGGTTAATATGTATGTCTTCTGTAAGATCCTAGCGGCTTTGGCATGGACAGCCCATTTTTGGCTGGAGGAATGAACTTGTACGGTCGGAAACATTATTCATTCCTAGTTTTTAGGACCACGAACATTTTTTATTCGGAATTCGGATATATTATTAAGAAAACACCGGTACAACTAGTGTATTGTAGAGAGACATACATAGCTTGGGGGTGATAATTTTCTTATCTCGACACAGGGTGCTGGCCGCCTCCCTGCTGCGAGTAGTTGCTTGGTACATGCTGAAAACCGCACTCCTGGGCCATAGTGCAACCCGAGGTACCGTGCCGTCTCGTTGCCGGTCAGCGCCCCAACCCCACCCCACCTAACCGATACTCAGCTTCCATAAGCCGCTTTCGCTCACGTGTAGTGCCCCCAAAAGTGAAGGACCTCGCACTTGGCAGCATTCGCGGCCATACTCGCCGATTTCAACTAGTAAGCTTACATTTCATAATACATTCTTACCGCGTATGGGACTCGAATCCACGACTACACGTCTATGAGTCTCGCGCTACATAGACTAAGCTTACCGGGCTCTAAGGAAGATTGATTATTGGAAAGTGCGGGGGGATCATAAACAACGCGCGCGCGAAGCTGATCCGGAGGATAGATAGGCTGATACGCCAGAAGTAGCGGTGTGGCAGGTGAACACCTCCCCAGCTCTCTTCCGTGCGGGTGCCTATCTGAGCGATCTGCTACCTCGCCTGATAGAGGAGGTCGTACAGAAGGTGGTGGACCCGGTGTTCCCTTCACCGCCGCCGCCGCCACCACCGCCACCATCTCAGCCAACGGGCAAGGCGGCCGCCGGAGAGCCGGAAGTAAAACTGTCGGCGGCGGAGGCGGCACCAAGGTCGCCATTGCTGGATGGCTTTGTACGAGTAGAGCTGGACGAGCAACTGGCTGCTGCCGCCGCCGCCGCCACTTACTCTCTGATGTCGGGTGGCAAGGCGGCGGGCAGGAGGGGGGGTGCCGGATCGCCGGCGGCGGCGGTGGTGGTGCTGGTGCCGGCAGTGGGGTTGAGCTTTACGGGCGGGGCGGCCATAATCCCCGAACCGCTCCCTCCAGCCCCGGGGCGCCCTTGGTTCGGGCACGCGGGCAGCAAGCTCATCACCGAGGCATGGCTGCGGTATGGAGTGGATATGCCAGCATCCCGCAACACGGCCGTCTGGGCATTCCATGCGGAGCCTAACCCGTCCCACCACCTCCACAACTATCCCTCTATCCTCCCACACCTCGCCGACATGAGCCAGCACTTCGATGACCTCCTGGCTTCCGGCGTCACCGAGCAATATGACCCCAGCGTGCATGGCTCCGAGACCGACTTTGCTGCCGTCGTCAACCCCCTGCACGTCGTCCTCAAGCCTGATGGCTCCATCCGTCCCATAACCGACCCCTCTCGGTCTGGGGTCAACGAGTGCATGACCAAGCTCCCCTGCCCGCTCCGTGATCTCGCCACACTTCTCGAACAACTGCCAGCCAACGGCTTCCTGGGGAAGCGCGACCTGGCGAGCGGTTTCCACCACGTCAAGCTGGCGCCAGAGGCGCGCCGATTCATGGCCTTTCGGCACCCCTGCACCGGCACGCTGCAGTGCTGGGTCGCCCTTCCCGACGGCACTGCCTTTTCCCGTGGGTTGCCGAAGCCGCACCCAGCGAGTACGACTTGATTGTGCTCAGGCTCAACTAGATTCCCCCCGCACCCCGTTGGCCAGTGCCGGCAGGCTGTCACCGGGAGGAGGGAAGCTGCTCCGTCTGTGGGCGTTGCTGCGGAGCTGGGGATCTGCGCTGTGAGGCCTGCCCCTGCTCGGCGCATCGTCAGTGCCTCGGAATCACCCCAGGAGCCTACCCCGGCGGTTGGTACCGCTGCACCACTTGCTTGCTTGCGGCGGCGGGTATCGGAACAGTGGCCCATGGGAGTGTTCGGAGGAACTGGCACAGCTGACTGTGGCATTACACGGCAGCGCGGTTACAGACAGCTCATCCGTCACCTACGAGTCGGGGTGGCGACACTTTGTACACTTCTGCACAGAGGTCGCAGGGGTGCCGGAGGCGGGCGCCCTGCCCCGCCAGCGTGGGTCTGACCTCAATCGGGACCTGGTCTGTCTGTTCATAGCGCATGCAGTTGGCCGGTACACGGCCTCCACCGTCATCGGCACGCTGAGCACCCTGGCGGACTGGCAGTGGTTCATGGGAGTCTCGCCAGAGGCATATATCAGCCGCGACCCGCTGGTCAAGCGAACCCTGGGCCAAGCGTTGCTGCGAGGCTGGAGTCGGCATCGACCAAGACGAAGGCACCCCTGCCCCTGGGGGTGCTGAAGCTGCTCGTGGCGTAGCTACGGTGCAGGGCAAATGCGGAGCCGCGGAGGGCAATGGAGTTCACCCAGGACGCCTGCTGGCTGGTCTTGGGTTTTTTTAAGATGCTCTGGAGGAGCGAGTTGGCGGCCCTGAAGGTGGGCTGCGTTGAGGAGTTGCCGGGAGGGGGTGTGGGGCTGCAGATCGTACGTAGCAAGACAGACCAGAAGGGCACGGGGGCGTTGGTGTGCCTTGCAGCGCTCACCCAGAGCGGCATCCCCATCGCTCGCATAGTGCAGCGGCACCTGGAGTGCGTGAGAACGGCCTGAGTTCACTCCCCACTCTTCGTACGGGGAATCACTTGGCCGGGCAAGCGGGGCTCGGCTTGGCGGCGCGGGGATTTCACTGACAGGCTGCATGCATTGCTGGGAGAATTGCAGGGATACG